CCTAAAGGATTTATGTCGGTGGTTTCCTGGCGGATATATGCATGTGGTCGGATAGTGGGCATGGTTTACCCGCCTGGTTTATAGGTTCATTGGGATGAGGGCAGTTTCACCAGTACCTTGTCTATTTTAAGTATGTGTTTAATTATGTTTGGATTGTTTTTAGTTTTGCATATTATTTCTAATCTATGTACTAGTAGTAGGCATCTGTCAATTCTGTGGGGTTATGGAGTTGTGCGATAGGTGTCTGGTTGGGTGCAATGTCTGCTGTGGCTGAGAAGTCCAACCTGAGAACGGCAGTCCAAACCGCAGTCAGTGCAGATAAACGCCGAAGCGGTTGTGTCTGTCAGTGGTCAAGACTTCCTCTGAAGTCTCTTTCCCTCCGCCTGTCTCTTCAGTTCGCCCTCAAATTGCTGGAGTCCCTTCTGCACTTTGCATCTCTTGGCAAATCTGTTCGCAGCTGCTTTTTCCCAAGTGTTGAAGTCAATGTTCAGCTGCTTGAGGTCGTGTTTGCAGGCTTCTTTGGAAAGCAGCTGGGGTGTTCCGGTGGGTCTCTTTCCTGATGCCAGTTTGCCATATAAGTAGTCCTTCGGTATGCAGCCATCTTCCATGCATGTGACATGTCCCAGCCACCGCAAACATCTTTGTTTCAAGAGAGTGAACATTAATTAAAGGGATTCCGGTTCTCTCAAACACTGTGTTGTTGGTGACGTGGTTTCTCCACGTGATGTTAAGGATGCGTCTCAGGATCCGCATGTGAAAGGTATCGAGCCGTCTCTCCTGGCGAGAGCGCAGGGTCCAGGATTCCGAGCCGTAGAGAAGTGTACTCACCACACATGCCATATAGACCTGTGCCTTAGTGTGCATTGTCAGTTTGACATTTGCCCAAATGCGCTTTGTAAGCCTGACCAGTGTTGTTGCAGCCTTCCTGATACGCCTATTGAGCTCAGTGTTCAGGTAAAGGGTGTCTAAGATTGTGGAGCCCAGGTACACAAACTCGTGGGCCGCTTCCAGCACGCAGTCTGTGATGTTTATACAGGGGTAACTCATTGACGTCTTGTCCCATCACCTGTGTATTCTTCAGGCTGATTGTCAGGACGAATGTGGAGCAGGCTGCAGAAAAGCGGTTGAGTATTTGCTGCAGGCCTTCTGCTGTGTGTGGTGATTGCTGCGTCGTCGACAAAGAGGAAGTCCCTGAGCATTCTCATCTGTACTTTCATCTTTGCTCGGAATCAGGATAGATTGAAGAGCTTTTCATCAGATCTTGTATGGAGATAGATGCCCTCTGTGGTTGTTCCAATGGTATGGTTGTCGAGGATCGCAAAGAAGATGCCAGATGTTACGTACTCCTAGCTGAATACGTATATAAATTTATATAAACTTATTCTATTCCATTTCATCATATATGTACACATTGTGTTTTTGTAAATTATCGTGTGGTGTGGCAATGTCAGGGGGGGCAGGAGCGTGGTGGCTTTTCACACGTCTAATACCTGTTAGATTCGGGAAATTAGAATTGCTGGACATGTTCAGTTTGGGAGTTCCAGATGTCACTTTTACTAAGTTTATATAATTGTTTATTTACTGTAATTAAGCAGGTGGCATTGTACTTATATATTTTGCAAGTAACTATTATATTTAATTTACATTCTTATGTGTTTTGAGAACAAGTGGTTGTTCAATTAGTTTTAAATATTAAAAAGTCTTTAGTTTCCATCCCTCATCTTGGATGAGGCAGAGGAGGAGAGGATTATGGGTAGCGACAGCCGAGTAGCTCAGTGGCTGATACGGGGCAGGAGAGATCACATCTTAGTAGAGTTAAGTCTGTAACATTCATGTTGTGCCATATTTTATTATATTATATTATGTGAGAGACAATACTTTTTGTTTGGTTGTATAAGTTAACTTGACCATCTGTGTTTTTATATTATACTGTATTGAATATATATATTATAAGTTATATGTATAATTCTTCAGTTCTAAGGGAGAAATACTTTTAATTCTTAGCCTGTTATCATTCATGTGGTTATACTGGTGACCCGCTTTAGAGAGCAGCAGTTGTATCCCTAGACATAATTAAAGCTTGGCTGCTGTAGGGTCACGAGCCGTAACGAACGATAGGTAACATAGTGTTATGGGGGCCTGTGCCAGGAAATATTGTTCCCACTTAAACTTAACTGTGCTAATCTAACCTTGCCTTTCTAGAGTACCAGTGTGCTAGGTGTCTGTGTGTTTTATAAGAACTATTCCATGTGCCAAGCAAGCCTTCCTGTGTGTCAAGTAACAACGTTTCACGATTTTGAGGTAAGTCATCCTATATATTTTGTTTGTGCAGTGAGGCCAAACGAATTTTCAGTGTTGACAATTTTACAGTGAAGTGTAGTGCCATTGTTTTAATTGTTGTTGTGAATCAAGTGCTAAGTGTTAGTAACGATGGAGAGTCAAGTGTCGTCGTTGGTGGCTCATCCAGACTTTGAGGGAATTAAGAGCCTAAAAAAGACTGAGTTAATACAAATGGCAAATCAGTTGGATTTGACCGCCAACAATAAAATGGTTAAAGCCCAAATTGTGAAAGTCATTGTGACGCATTTAGTTGAGAATGGAGAGTTAGAAGAAGAAATTCTAGAGGAGTTAAGAGAGGAGTCGAGTGATCAGATGACGTTAAAGCGTCTTGAGTTAGAAGCTCGTCAATTAGAACTTGAAGCTCAAAAGGAACAGAAACAATTAGAGCTTGAAGCTCAAAAGGAACAGAAACTATTAGAGATTGAAGCTCAAAAGCAACAGCAAATATTAGAGGCTGAAGCTCAGCAGAGGGAGCTTGAGACTAGGCGTTTAGAACTTGAGGCACAAAATAGAAGATGTTTAATTGAGTTGCAACTAGAAGCAACAAGCCGAGGAACAAACTAGGCAATTAGAGATTCAACAACAAATGGCTGACACTAACTTCAGGCTTGAATCACAGCGTATGGCAGCTGGGCATGGAAATACTAGTAATGTTTCAACAAATAGTGATAATAATCCCATAAGGATGAATAAGTATATAGAGTTACCCAAGTTTAATGAGGAGGATCCTGAGGTTTTCTTTGCACATTTTTATAAGATTGCCATCAGTATGAACTGGCCAAGGGTTCAATGGGTACCCATTATGCAGTCTCAATTTAAGGGGCGTAGTCAGGAGGTTTTTACATCCCTACCTGACGCTCATAGCTTTGATTAAGAATTTGTAAAGAAAAGCATCTTAAATGCGTATCAATTAAATCCAGAGGCACACAGGCAGAAGTTTCGGAACCTAAGGAGGGTAAGTGATCAGACAATAGCAGATTTTACTCGTCAGAAGACGAATTTTTGCAACAGATGGTTAAAGTCACTTTCAGTAACCGACTATGATGCTCAAAAGAATCTTCTTATAATGGAAGAAGTATTGTCATGTCTCCCAGACAAGTTGTCTACTTTTATGGCAGAACAAAAGAATGTAACAGACATTTATGAGCTGTCAAAGCTCGCTGATGAGCATGAGTTGTTGACTAAGGCCCAGTTTACGGCCACTTCACCTAAGTCTAGTCGTAGAGTAAATTATAATGCTCACCGAACTCCTTATCAGAATCCATCCAGTCCTAGTGCTCCAGTTACTCCCATGAGCTCTTCTCTTACAAAACCTAACCCTGCTACTTCATTGTCAGGAATGTCAAATAATAATAAGGTTACTTCTAAACCTACAGTTGGTTCCACAGGTGTGTCCACTGTAAGGTCCTGTTCCCATTGTAAGAGAAAAGGCCATGGAATTAATTCCTGTTTTATATTGCACCCTGAGTTACGACCAACTGGTCTCATTTATTGTAGAGGTGTGCAAAATAAATTTACTAATAAACATGAAACTGTAAACCCCAATTGGGTGAAACAGTATTCACCATATGTCTTCAGGTGAAGTTTTGTGTATTAATGGGAAGTGGAAGCCAGTGGTTATTCTTCGTGATACAGGTGCTTCCCAAACCATAATTTCATCCAGTATTCTTTCTGATGTTGAAAAGAGAGAGACAGGAAAGTTTGTTGTTCTTCAGAGTGTTGCAGGATGTAAAACTGTACCTCTAATAGACATTAATTTCAGATCCACCATTACACCAAGTTTATGCACTGTGGGTGTTAGTACACAGTTGCAGATACAAATATCAATAGAGATTCGGAATGGAAACAGTTGAGCAGTGGAGTTGCAAAATCTGTAATGAGAGTGACGGATACCGCCTTGACTACTACTGAGAGAATGTGAACACCTGAGGGACATTAGAAATATATGTAGAAATATAAACCCCACATTGTTTGAGTTAGTAAAACACTATTTGTCAAATATAGATACTGTTCTTAAAAGATTCCTCTATTTTGCACCCGCAAGATAACGTAAGATTTTAAGGGTTGACGAATGTTAGTCTTCTTGTTTGAGAAGGTGTTCACTTGAGACAGTTAAGCAAGTCCCAGCCGTGTCTGGGTACAAGGGACAAGATGAACAACTCAGCGGGTTTTCATCTTATAGGGGAGTGTTGTACATGCTGCTATGGTGGTGTGTCCACTCACAGGATGAGTGGCGCTGCCCAATAAACTCGCCCCTCGGGGCAAAATTTAAGAACAGGAATGATGCTAGAGTATTTCGTTGCCGGCAATATCTACATTTTATTAGTACAAATGGCGAAAGGCTCCTTAAGAGACCAGTTGGTAATTGTGATGTCAAACAAGATTTGTACACTTATTCGTTACAGTCACATGAAACTGTTCAACAGTTTCAAGTAGACTGTTTTCTTGTTTGATTTTTGTCACTAATTACTAAATACACATCATGTCTTCAGTCACATCCACATTGTTGCGTTGTTGTAGTTTATAAAATAAAGCATGCGGAATAATCTCTGCCTGTCTGTCTGTCTCTCTCTCTCTCTCTCTCTCTCTCTCTCTCTCTCTCTCTCTCTCTCTCTCTCTCTCTCTCTCTCTCTCTCTCTCTCTCTCTCTCTCACTCTCACCTTCAAGAGCCTGGGGTGGTACTTGATCCTGCACCAGGTGGTGTGGTAAGTGAGGTGTTCATCCCGAAGGCGGATTAGATCCTCTGCCCGAGCTGGGTTGCTGGTTCTCACCTCCTTCTCTACCGTCTCGAAACGACGAATGGTCTCTTTCTGTGGGTAGTGGATGGATGGTTAGAACGAAGAAAGGGAGGGGATGGATTATCAGGGGGAAAGCGCCAAACTATTAAGGCTATATAGCACTTGGGAGGAGTCAGTATATGGATTTGTAATGGGATGGAGGGGAAGGAATAGTGCCCAACCACTTGAACGGTCGGGGATTGAATGCCGACCTGCATGAATCGATACCGTCGCTCTACCGTCCAGTCCAAGCGGTTGGGCGGTGGGTAGTTCTGGATAGTTAGGGTGACGAGGGTGGGATTAAATTATTGATTTACCAAGTGGACTGTATCATAATAATTTTCCCACTAATAAACGCCTCACAAATTTGGGCGTTTTCAGATTAATTTCAACTAGACAGGAATTATCTTGTTAGTGGACACATAAAATTTAGATTTAAATGGTTAATTAGAATAATGAAATTGATATTGATTTTGTTTAATTAATAAATATAATATTTCTACTAAAGAACAAGTGTCAGCTTAGCTGAACAAGAAGAGTAGTTGGCCGAGACGTGTATCCGTCACACGGGCTCGTCATCTCCCGTCGTCGACATGTGGTTATGGCGTCTCACAGGCCACGACCCACGCCTTAACTACCGCTACGTCGTAACTCAGTTATATAATAATAATAATAATAATTTTTATTTAGGTAAAGGTACATACATAAAGAGATTTTACAAAGTTTGTTGGCTTTATAGATAGAGCTAGTACATACAATGCCTAAAGCCACTATTACGCAATGCGTTTCGGGCAATATATAATATATGTTAACATGAATGTATACAACAACTTCACTCCTCATATAACAACCTCAAGGAGTTCACAAACACTGTTCTAGGCCAGTGTAACCGTTGCCTTGTGTCGACTTGGTGCAAGCAGAACCCTCACCAGACCACGTGGCTAACAGTAGCCAACAGAACCCTCACCAGACCCCGTGGCTAACCGTAGCCAACAGAACCCTCAACAGACCCCGTGGCTAACAGTAGCCAACAGAACCCTCAACAGACCCCGTGGCTAACAGTAGCCAACAGAACCCTCACCAGACCCCGTGGCTAACAGTAGCCAACAGAACCCTCACCAGACCACGTGGCTAACAGTAGCCAACAGAACCCTCACCAGACCCCGTGGCTAACCGTGGCCAACAGAACCCTCACCAGACCACGTGGCTAACCGTAGCCAACAGAACCCTCACCAGACCCCGTGGCTAACCGTAGCCAACAGAACCCTCACCAGACCACGTGGCTAACCGTGGCCAACAGAACCCTCACCAGACCCCGTGGCTAACCGTGGTCAACAGAACCCTCACCAGACCACGTGGCTAACAGTAGCCAACAGAACCCTCACCAGACCCCGTGGCTAACCGTGGTCAACAGGGCTGGTGTCCCGGCTTTACTCACACTCGGCCGCGAATTTCCGGCCAGGTCAATACTCTCTGCTGACTCGCGCGGATTGCTTAAAATTGCTTAAACTCACAAGTCAAAGGTAACACAAAGAGCTCACTCTCCTGTGAAGGGTTCGAACCCTGGAACGCCAGGTGTTTGTGCACCTTGACATAACCAGTACTCTACCTCTAGATCATGGAAAACTTGTGACTTGTGACCACCTTTGACGTGTGAGTTTAAGCAAGTTTACCGTGTATATATGAAGCTCATGTTCTCTCTGGTAATGTGAAGGACTGATGAATATTAATTCTGATCTCGTCGTCGTCGTCTGAAGGGAAACGTCGTCGTCCCTTCAACTTCTAGTGTGTGGTCTGGTCAACTTACTTCAGCCACGTTATTGTGACTCATCGCCTGCTTAATTCTGATCTCTTGCCATGACTAGTGTCGTTGGGAGGTTGGATTTGTTGGGGAAATAGTCCGACATCCACCTCTGTTAACGATCTGCTGTGGTCTAGAGGTAAAGTACTGGTTATGTCAGGATGTGTGAACACCTGACTTTCCAATGTTAGAGCCCCATTATATGTTATTAATATCCATGTATGCAGCTCCTATTTATATCCACTCAATGCCATTCATATATTTGTTATTGTACCTCATTTCACTTCACTTAACCTCTCTCCTGCCAATATATATCCAAATTTACTTGTAAATCCATCCTTCTGAAAATGTATTATTAAATACAAAAGAACTTAAAGAAAATTTATGTTTCAAGTCTTCCTTTGTGGTTTGACACTCACATTTTTCATTATGTGTTAATTTCATGATTTACACACACACACACACACACACACACACACACACCTGCTCCTTAGGTGTAGGGAGCAGGAAACCAGATACAAGGTGTCATTTAGGAGATGAAATACTTCAAGAGTCAGAGAGAGAAAGAGAGAAAGACCTGGGGGTTGATATCACGCCAGACCTGTCTCCTGAAGCTCATATCAAGAGGATAACATCAGCGGCATATGCCAGGTTGGCTAACATAAGAACGGCCTTTAGAAACTTGTGTAAGGAATCATTCAGAACATTATATACCACATATGTCAGACCAATCCTGGAGTATGCGGCTCCAGCATGGAGTCCATATCTAGTCAAGCATAAGACTAAACTAGAAAAGGTTCAAATGTTTGCCTCCAGACTAGTACCCGAGCTGAGAGGTATGAGTTACGAGGAGAGACTAGGAGAATTAAACCTCACTTCGTTGGAAGACAGAAGAGTTAGGGGGGACATGATCACCACATTCAAGATTCTCAAGGGAATCGATAGGGTAAATAAAGACAGTCTATTTAACACAAGGGGAACACGCACTAGGGAACACAGGTGGAAACTGAGTGCCCAAATGAGCCACAGAGATATTAGAAAGAAATTTTTTCAGTGTCAGAGTGGTTGACAAATGGAATGCATTAGGAAGTGATGTGGTGGAGGCTGACTCCATACACAGTTTCAAGTGTAGATATGATAGAGCCCAATAGGCTCAGGAACCTGTACACCTGTTGATTGACAGTTGAGAGGCGGGACCAAAGAGCCAGAGCTCAATCCCCTGCAAGCACAATTAGGTGAGTACAAAGGGGGCCTGGCAGGAGCCTGGTTGCCTGGCGGAAAGGGCGCAGGACTCGTAATTCTGTGGCGCGGGTTCGATTCCCGCATCAGGCAGAAACAAATGGGCAAAGTCTCTTTCACCCTGGATGCCCCTGTTATCTAGCAGTAAATAGGTACCTGGGAGTTAGTCAGCTGTCACGGACTGCTTCCTGGGGTGTGTGTGTGTGTGTGTGGTGTGGAAAAAAAGTTCACCCAGTGAGCCAACTCCACGCTGACTTTGTCTCCAGTAGCACAGAACATCACCTTCACTCACCAGACCACTCCACAGTGAGCATTTGAATTAAATCATGGAATACCAATTGAATTGTAATAGATCCAGAAAAGCTGCTCCGTGTAGGAAAAGAAAATCTATACTCGATACAAGTTCTGAAAGTGACGGCGAGTGGAATTCTGTGACTAAGGCAAACAGGACAAGCCACTCCATGACGACCCATCGTCCGACAATCACTCCAGCTTCTCCAGCCCTTCCAGCTCCTCAGACTAAATCTGCACTGCCAATCTTCAAGGTGCAGCATACCGAAGGTAAGTCCTCCTACGCCACTGTAGTGAACCTGGAAAAAGAGTACCCCCAGCTCCAGATCAGAGCAAAACCATATCTCAGAGGAGAATATATTCTGAGGCCCAAAGACGAGTCGGCTGCAACGATTCTGAAAAATAACACAAAATGTGAGGAACTCAAACCAGAGGATAAAATACGAAAAATCATTGTCCTCCGCTATCCCTTGCATATGGCCCTTGACCATCTCGAAAAGCTGAACTATGTGGTGTCAGCAGAGAGATGCCAGGTAAATACCACAAAACAGGAAACCCGACAAGTCCTTCTCACAGTAAGAGGACGGATCCCGAAGAAACTTGACCTTGGAATCTGGGGCGTGTTCCAACACAGGCCTTACACCCCAGAGCCCCTAAGATGCTTTAGATGTCAGAGATTTGGGCATCACAAAGATGGCTGCCAACGCCCAGTGAGGTGCAGTCTGAAGCCAGCCCCATGATACAAAAATATGCATTGATAAACACAAGGCAAACCACCCTGTCCAGGCAAAGTGCCCAAATTTCTCCAAGGCACATCACGCCTGGAACTTGAAAGGCTCAAAAGGCTTCACACGAACCCCACCACGCCTACAGCAGAGCCGAAGCCCCACCAAAACTAATACCAGCTCCCCTACCCACTAAAACTGCGTGGAGTCTACCCATTCAGGTAGAGGGGGGCACATGGCCCTTCACCATCGGCCATGGTGAAGGGTGTGAAGGCCTCCGTACAGGAAAAAAAGAAAGATGGGGGACATAAGAAACATGTTCAAAGCAGTCGTCCTCCCATTGCTTCCAGTAAGCACACTGGGGCCAATAAGAGTAACAATTCCAGTGTCAAAGTTACCACTGAGAAGGGTCAAAAAGTAACCAGGCCCCAAACCTGCACAGCATTAAATAATGCTCCCACAGAACTGGACGCTCTCTGGCCAATGCTCAAAACTTTGGTCACCGAATTGGTTGAAAGTCTGCTGTCATTACACGGTATCAAGAAAACCACAGAGACTCGGAAGACAATTGAGCACAAGCTCAAGAAGTTCGAAAATATAATATCCTCACCTTCAAGACAGCAGGGCAGGAGACACCCCCTAAAAAACAGATAGAGTCCAGCTCGTCAGAAAGCGACATTGATGAGTCAATTTCAGGTCCACTAAGAACCTATACACCAATTGCAACTTCCATGGCGTGTTCATCAGACTCCATGAATACCACGGAATTATCAGCAAATTCCAAGAACCTAGAGGTCTAAAGATCCTGCAATAGAATGTGCAAGGACTGCGCACAAAATTGCAACACTTGCAATGCATAGCAGCAACCAAAGGCATAGACATCCTGATACTACAGGAGAGCTTGCTTCGAGCCGGATCAGAGCCTAAAATCTCAAGCTATCTAGGCTTCTTCCTTCCATGGATCAATGGGCAATCCAGGGGATGTGCAATCTATGTAAAATGTGACCTGATCTCCAAGTCCATAACCAGCCCACCCGATTGTGGAGCAGGGACAGAGGTAATGGGAGTAACCATTAAGCTAAGACACGACAAACTTGAAGAGTTTAATGTGTATAGGTCTCCACATGCCGAAATGGATCTCTCTATGTCATTTGGACACGCGACAACATCAAACACAATCATTTGTGGAGATTTTAATGCCCATCATCGATTGGCACTGGGCTCTTACACAACAAATGAGGCTGGCATTCACATTGCACATCTACTAGACCAGCTTCCAGAAAACCAAATCCTAAACTAGAATGAACCCACCCACATCCAAGGAGGCAGATTAGACCTTACCTTCGTTTCAGCCTCCCTAAGAGATGCAGCAACATGGTCAGTTGAGCCCACACTCACAAGCGACCACTATGGGGTCCAAATTGATCTTAAGTTAGATCTACCCACCCCATCTGCACCTCCATCTGAAGCCCGGAACTTTGCTTTAGCAAACTGGGACTGATTTCAAAACCTCATTTCAGAGTGGCATAAAAACTATGATCTTCCCAAAGACATTAATCAGGCAGAACAAGAATTTGTCAAAGCGATTCAAAGTACAGCCAACCACTCAATCCCACTGAAAAAACAGTCCACCGGACACCATAAAGATCATTGGTACTATTGCGAACGTGTCAAAGAACTCAACCATAGGCTCAACAGAACAAGAAAGCTATACAAAAAACAGCCAAGTGACCGCAACAAGACCTTACAGTCTGAGGACAAGGAACATGTGCATCGAGAGACCAGACTAATAAAAGAACAAAAGTGGCTGGAATGGTGTTCACACCTGAATGAACACACCTCTCTTGGAGAGATGTGGCAGCAAATTCACCGGGCCAAAGGGAATAAAACACCTAAAGCCCCACACCCCAAGGATCCTCAACAGGAAGCCGAAGTACTGGCAACCAGGTTTGCAGAGAGAGCAGCCAGCAATCAACTTCCACCAGATGTATTAGCAGTACAGACCGGACTAGAGGAAGAAAGGTGGCACAGAATCCTTACAGCATGTGAAGAAGTCTCTGACACTAATGCCCCCTTCACACTGGATGAGCTCAATCGGGCTAAGAAAAACTCCAAGGATACATCCCCTGGAGCCGACAAAATAACCTATAAAATGATTAGAAACCTCGGCCCAGAGGGAGACGCTGCATACCTAAGGTTAATTAATTTAGCCTGGACTTCTCAAACTAGACCTTCAGCTTGGAATAGAGCAGACATAGTGCCGATCCCAAAACCCAAAGATCCAGCTAATCCCAGGCCCATCTCTCTCCAAAGCTGTGCAGCCAAGACGGCTGACAGAATGGCACTCAACAGACTGGAGTGGAAAATGCCTAAACTGCACCATGATATGTATGCCTATAGAAGAGGGGTTGGCACAGTGGAATGTATTACAACTCTGTTAGCCCACTTGAATGACAGACCAGGAATGCTGATATTCCTGGACCTCGAAAAAGCCTTTGAACTGGCTAGCGCCCCAGCTATTCTCTGCTGCCTCATTGACAAAGAGGTCAGAGGCAACCTGCTCTCCTGGACCAAAAACTGTCTCATAAACAGAGAAGCAAGAGTAAAACTTCATGGCACAGTCTCTGAATACAAAAGACATGAAAATGGTACACCGCAAGGAGGTATTCTCAGCCCTCTTCTCTTCAACTGTTTAATGGAAAGAATAATGAGGTTGAAACTTTCACATCACTGCAGGCTGCTAAACTACGCGGACGACTTTGTCATCATCATAAAAGGAAGGGATGTGGTGTGCCTTGCACCCAAATGCTTAGACTGCATCAGTAAAGATGCAAAGCAGATTGGTATCAAACTCAACCCCTCAAAGTCAAAAGCCATGCCCATAAAAATAGCGAAGCCCAACATCCAACTCACAGTACAGGGTCAACCAGTTGAATGGGTGGACACCTATCAGTATCTAGGAATAATCCTGGACACACATATGAATTTTAATGCTGAGGTCACTTACTTGAGAGAGTGAACTGCGGCCCGGACGGCAATCCTCAGATCGCTAAACTCCCTCGCTGGAAGAGCCAGTCTGCAAGTCCTTCGCACATACTATGTACAGGCAGTCAGATCAGTGATCGACTATGCCGCACCTGCACTCACAAATCTATCACACCAACAGTGGAAAAAGCTTGAAGTTGCCCAAAACAATGCTATGAGAGCCGCACTGGGAGCCCCCATGTGGACCAGGCTTGAAACTCTTAGACTGGAGACGGGTTTGCCCTCTCTACAAGAAAGAATATCACAAAGAACAGCTACAATTATCAGTAAGATAATTATTTCTCCTGATCCAATCCCAGTACGGCAGGCCTTGGTGGTTGGACTAGGCCAAAACAATGGAAACTCTTGGGCTGCAAGAGCAGGAAAAGTCCTAAACAGACTACATTTAAAAAGCATGATTCTTGATAGAGAGGGTGATCATCCACACCCAAATTACACTCCTTCCGCACCGTGGGAAGAGCCTACTTTCAAAATAGTAATAGAAAGTCTCCCAATGAAAAAGGCTGCCTATGATCCGACAATCCTAAGGCGCATAATAGAAGAGCAAATGTATAGCATAGCAGTAGCAGGAGCCACCCACATCTTCACAGACGGATCGGTGGACACAGAATATGAGAGTGCTGGCGCTGCTCTTTGCACGGCCAGCGTACAGGCATATTGGAGACTGGGAGGACTAGTATCATCAACCCAAACTGAGCTGTTTGCCATACAACAGGCATTCGCATATGTGATTGCACAAAACACTCAAAATGCAATCATACACACAGACTCAAAAGCTGCACTTCAAATACTAGGACAAAAACAGTGGAAAGATAACGTGGAAATAATTACCACCATTTTGTATCTTGGAGCAGTCGCTAAAGGCAAAGGACTCAACATAACCTTAAACTGGATCCCATCCCATGTTGGAATCCCATTAAATGAGAAAGCTGATGAAATTGCTAAATTGGCAACTCGTCATCCAGTGATACATAAAACAATTCAACCCAGCCTAGAGAACATAAAAAACATCATCACCAAAAAACTCTCACA